TAATTACCGTCCCTCATACTTGCCAGTTTTTCTAGTCTTAAGACGGTTATGAGACCGAATTAGGAAGTTTTGCTTTTGACACTGGTTCGGCCCATGACGCACCTCTGCGAGGTGCACATGTGCTACATTGACTCCATGTTCGCTGACTCCATGTTCCTACACTGAACTCGACCAAACACTTCGCGTATTTTTTCAGATTTGCCTGGCAAGCAAGCCTAGTTCTTAAGGGCAAGAAGGTGAAATAAGCCAGTTTTGACATTCTCCGCAAAAAAATCCATCATTGGCAAAGAGCATTGGAAGTGTCAAGAAGCAAAGCAACAACAGTCAAAAGAGCTTCCGTTGAAATCGAGTTTGAAATTGTGGTCAAGTTGGCTCTGTGTATTTGAAATTTACATTCTTAAGTCGTGTTCAAAGGAGTCTTCATTTCGAAAAGAGAGTCAGAAAAGAATGACAAAGTCTCAACTGATCAAGCTTTTATTGATGCAAACTTTCTGTTTTGTTGCATAATCCACATCCAAATGGACAATAGGTCCACTTCTGTTCCTCGGTGATACCCTCACGAGAGCAGAATCCATGATCGATGTGAATGCGACAACTGGAAAACTACCACTTTTTTAGACACAGTCGAATTCTATTTTCAAGCCTTCTCCTTACTCTGGATGATCATGACGGCCCTCGCATACGCCTATCTTCTGAACATCAGGAGTACCTTTTGCCTGTAATATCGATCTGTTGTAAACAACAACAACAGTTCAAAGTTGTATTCGGACGTCCAAAAGGCTACCAAACGGTATAAGAGTTTAAATAGTAAGCTCGAAATTAGAAAATATAAAAAATTTAGATGGAAACCTTTTTAGGATCGGTGGACGCGGCGATGTTGCCACCAACAATGACGGCCAAAAGCACAATCAAGGAGAATGGCGGCATCCTGAAGCTTCTGTTTACTTATAAAAGTTTAGGGGTCATTCTCCGCATTTGGGAATAACGTTCACAGATGACGCGTTCACTTCGTTCTATTTAGGTTCTATTCCTCGTGGTAAAATTTTCAAGAGAAAGGAGACGGGGTTCGATTCTATGGACCTAGGATGTTCATGTTGCACGGCTCATAGGGAGCTGGTGGAAGGAAAGAATAGATAAAGTAGACTTGGCGATTGGCAAGTTAATATTAAAGTGAGAGCATACAGGCTAATGCCGGCCCCACTTTTATACGAGCTGCATGGAGGGCCAATGACGCATAGTATTTGATCTGGAAAGGCTGAGAAAACACTAGCCTCTTTCCCGTTATAGAACCATTTTCTTCTGGATGATCGTTTTCGCAGAGCACGATCTGTTCTTTCTTTTTCCTTTCTTTTTCCATACATGAGCCTCTCCTAGTCTATTGCGCACTTGCATGCATGGAGGTTTTTGAATAATGATCAGCTAGGGATGATTTGCAAAGTTAGGGATGGGAGGGGGTGACCTAGGGAGATATCGGTCTGGGACCCGTGACCATGCATATGCATGGAGAAAGTGCAAGTTGAAGTGTGAAGAAACTATAACATAAGAGCAACGCTTCAAAACCAATTCACCGCCGACTTGTGGGTGTTGGCAAGGATTAATAGGGAATAGCAGAATGTTACAAAACGAAGGATAAGGGTAGTAAATGAAGTATGTTTCTTCCCTATTTGTGTCTTTATACATGCCCTCGACCCTGACGTTCTCGTCAGAATTCTCCGGATTACCTAAAAACAAATATCATCTCCGAAGGCATATTGTTGACAATTTTTGAAATTCCTCGTTTTCTCAACTCGCTACCTGCTAATTTCAGGCATGAACCATCAGTGAAACAGTTAGTGTTTGTTCGATATTCCTAAAATACGGACAAATACAATGTAAACATGATGTCAGAAGCCGAGAACCATACAAATGAGTTTACTCTATCCGTCCCTCTCTATGTATTGTGAAATCCTTGCTCTGCACAACTCGCCTCCCTTCTTCTACATCCANTCTTTATACATGCCCTCGACCCTGACGTTCTCGTCAGAATTCTCCGGATTACCTAAAAACAAATATCATCTCTGAAGGAATATTGTTGACAATTTTTGAAATTCCTCGTTTTCTCAACTCGCTACCTGCTAATTTCAGGCATGAACCATCAGTGAAACAGTTAGTGTTTGTTCGATATTCCTAAAATACGGACAAATACAATGTAAACATGATGTCAGAATCCGATGACCATACAAATGAGTTTGCGCTATCCGTCCCTCTCTATGTATTGTGAAATCCTTGCTCTGCACAACTCGCCTCCCTTCTTCTACATCCAATTAAGTCGATTGGGAGTGCTGATTCTGGCGGAACAGCGAATTGCTGGGTAACATTTTCGGAGTACAAATAACTGAAAAACATTTAAATGATTAAGTGGATTTCACCGCATGAGCGATCAAGTTCCATTTCCAGATTCTCGGAAACAGGGGCCGCGAATGATTGAACTATTAAGTTTGTGCATTAGTCTCGTAACACCTTTTTTTACTGCATTGTCCTCCTTGTTCATGGTATTTCTAAGTGGCGTGAGTGGGCTTTCAACCTTCTTCCTTTCCTATAGGCGCTCTTGAGCGCGTATACTAAAGATGTCTCACGTCTCACCTATAACGATTTCCTTTGCAAACTGAGCATTGAATTTGACACCTCTGTTTACAGTGTTTGCCCCTTTTGTAGGAAAAAGCGACGCAGAGATTAGTAGCACACACACTGTCACTATGCTGAGTGCAAATTCGAGCGCGGAAACTGTAGTTGGAAGTGTCCATTTCTTCCTTGTAAACGGTAAACGGAAAAGTCAGCGAGTATTTCACGTTTTTGCTCTCGAATATGCATCATTTGTCCCTTGTTATTCGATTAAACGAGAGAGGGAGTTAACGATGGGGGAACAGGAGGCGAGGTGGACTATATGGGGAGATTTTTCGTGTTTGGCTTCTACAACTGTAATAGAAGGCTGCTTGACAGTTGAGAATAGAAGACTCAAACAGTTATGGGGCTCTTGAAGGCTACGACTGATCCCAAACGTCGACGATATAAAGAAATCCTAGTCAAGCAAGTTCATACGTCTAAGGGACAAGATCTTTCAAGGCTTCTCCTGTTTACAATTACAGTTCAGAAGCTAGTCATTTGTTCAGTTATTGGTCAAAGTCGTGGTGGCATTTGGCCGTCGCAACTTCTTGTGGAACCCACGAGTCAGTGAACTCATGTTCCCATCTAGTCTGGTATGGCTCAGGCGACTCCGAAGGGATCGAATGGACATTTTTAGCTTTTTCAATATTCAATGTGTGAAGTGGGCATCTCAAAGGGGTTGAAATGGCCACCCTTTTTTGCAGCCGATATGTCCTTGTACGTTCAAAACAATATTTCGTGGTGCGATTCAGGTGGGAGAGTGTTGAAAAAAGTCTCAGATTAGTTTTTTTCAGATTACTGTCACTGTTGCTAGGAATTTCAGAGAATCGGATTAGCAATTGGCGTTTTTAGGTGCCTCCCAAATAAAGATATCACCGCTGATAACAGGTGTCCTTCTAGAGCGCCCTCGGGAAGCAGTCGTAAACCAGATCAATCATACTAAGCCGCACAGTACATTTACGAAAAAACCTTCATACCTGAAACAACAATGTTCACTATGACTTCTGGGAGAACTTTGATGAAGGTCTATCAATGGTACATTCTAATTGACTACCAGTAAGGTCGAATTAACCGTTCAAGTGCCATTCTACGGGAAACTTGACCCGATGTGGTTCGGGAAACGCCTTCTACACCTTTTATCACCTTAGAGTCAGGTCTACATGTGATTCTAATGAAGACACATAATTTTGAAATCATTAGCAACTTGGGATTGAAGCGGTTCGGACAATTTTTGCCACTTTGTCCTTAGGTTACACTTCTGAGAAAGTACAATCTTTATGTTGCCATCGCTTCCCAAGTGTTCCGTAATTTCACGGCGCTGAAGCCACCCGTGGGAAACCTCGTTTAGCAATGGTATCAGAAGGCCAGTTTATCTGTCTAATTCCGAGGTACTCTGAGCCGTAAAGTTCTCAATACGACTTTACAACAGCAAGAAGCGCAGGAACAGGGAGCTTTCGTAAGAGAACTGGAATTTTTTCTTCTGTTCGGGAGCTGAACCTTTCATCTGACGTCGCGCTCTGTCCGATGCGCGAAACGTCGATCTTCCTACTGTTCCTGATGTTGTGCAGTTATACGATATCTGTCCGCGCATCGGACAGTGTCTGCGTGCCCGTGTGATAAATTTGCGATTTTTCGAATGCAAAGAAAGGACTACACGACTGATGAAAGGGTAGCCAGCTTCAACCCACGTATAAGTCAACAATACGAAAAAATAGATTATACAAAAGTGGAAGAGCCGTTAATCAGAAGCTGAAGAGTCGAGCAGAATTGAAATGAGGGGATAGTTTTTTGTATTGTTTGTGGAAATGTGTTCAAATTTTTTATTCTTCCATGAACTGTTTAAAAAAGGCTGAAACAGCCAACAAGTATCCCGACGCACTGCAGAAGCTTGCAGATGCAGTCATGCAGAGCGCTTTAAATCGAGTAGTAAGCCCGTTTTCATTGTGAAAACGCTCTCCCATACCTCCCTAGAGCAGTAGATGTAAAAGGTTAGAAATTAAAGAGCCTCCCCTAAACTACCACCTCAAAGAGGTAATTTATTGACAGTAACGGAGACCACGCCAGGTTTACGCTTCAAACCTTCCAGACGAGTTCACTACAAATTAAGTGGCCTATAGGGATGTAAGGCTTGCTTGACCTCGAGGGTGATAGTCAGGGATTCGATCCTTGGATTAAGCGTGCGTTACTTCCCACTACACCTCCCCGGTGGAGGAGTTGTTCCAAATTGTTGTTGTTGTTGTTGTTGTTGTTGTTGTTGTTGTTGTTGTTGTTGTTGTGCATGTGATGTGAACTTCCGACAAACCTAATATTTATATGACAACTACAAAACGTTAATTCATTTCATTCATTCTTATCCTTCAACGGATAATTTTCGCGAGTTGAATTTCGTAGAGATATGAACTTCCAACAAAAGGATCGATACCAATGTAGATAGCGCACCAGACTTTCGGATCGGCAAAGGATGTCACATTCAGATGTGTTTCTGGATCGTTGAAATCAACCTTAAAATAAAACAATGAGACTAATGCTGGAATAGTGCCTTCGGGGGCGGGCCTGCGAGTTGCAGTGAAATACAGGGGATTTTTGGCAGGTTACATTCCTCCACACCACTACTCCCCCAAAAGGACTAGTATGTGCCTGTTTGAGCTGCCGGTCCGATTACCCTTCTGTTGTTTGCTGTCTTCAACAGCAGGGTCATCATTACATTATTGACTCGAGCTCTCGCTGGGGTATTTTCTCAAATCAACTGTAAGTATCTAAAGGCATCTTTCCAGTTTTGTTTGTTGTTTTCCTATAGTTTCGTCGTTTGCATATCTGAATTTCCCATCTAGAAACGAACGGCATACTCATTGTCCGTAAATGATGGGGAAAAGCCTTTTAAACGTTCAAGTACGCCAACAAAACGTTGCAATTACTTGTCGGAGTGCAATTTATTTATTTATTCATCTATTTGTTTATTTATTTATTTAATGTCTCCGAACAAGGAGATATCTTTGCCCAAAAACTTTTTACAGCTCCTTCTTATATAAATGTGTATTTCTAAGCTGCCTATGGACATAAGACGTTTATTCTGCCGCAAAATCCCTGGCACCTATGCAAGTTGCAAATGCTCTTAGCCGCAAGAAAGATGAACTGAAACTGAAATGGAACTTCCAGGTGTCCGAAATTTACAAAGGAAGAAAATCTTGATCAACAGTTACCTTCATCACAGTGATAGCCCAGTCTTCGGTGTTCACCAGTCTTTCTATTGAGCGAGCAACAATTCTAGGATTTCCAGATGATAGTGCTGCTTTGATGGCCTGAAACAAAAGTGACCCCCTTTTGTAGGTTTATGAGGCTTACTGACACTAACAACTCACTATCTTTTGCTTATCCTTAGCGCAATATGGGAAGCAGACGTGAATTTGGTCATCGTCAAGGATGCACTGGTTATAAGCTGAATTCTTTACTTCGTGAAGAAAAACTTTAATTCCGTACGAAGGAATTCGCTAGTCTTCATATTTTGTATATTGTTACATACCGTACAATGTGTTAGGAGGGAGAGGTTCGAACGTGGGCACGAGTGAATGAAAATACTTACGGTTATCCCAAAGAGTACGGTGAGACTGAGTAAGTCGAGCTGATTCTTGATTAACTCCTTTGGCCAGATTCACATGATAGTTAGCCTCCACCAGACCCGATGGGTGCCTCTAAATAGACCTCCGTTATATTACTTTCGGTGCATTCCTCCAAATCCTCAATTTACTACTGTAATGTGATGAGTACTCAAAAGATAGTGACTTCAGCTGTTCTATTTCAGTAAGAGAGTATCCAGAGATGAAGAGGAAAGTTAATTACCAAGACAGACTACAGATACGTCAGTAGCACTAATACTACCTTGTACCTTGCAGTACCACCTTAACCATCAGAATAATCCAAATGTGGAAAAAGTTGGAATTCAGAATGGGCTGTGGGAAGGCGAATTGTGAAGCTTTTTGAAGTGGTCAGTAAAGTTTTAATTCGGGAGATTTCAGGCTGAATGTTTTTGAATCTGCCCATCTTGGCTGCTGAATTTCCATGAACTTACGTTTACACAGAAGTGTTCTCCCTGGTCTGATATTCCTGCAGTGGCCCATTCCATTATTCCGAGTGCCTTTGTCGTCAACCATGATTTCGGAGGATTGGACAAATTACATTTTCCTAAATGAGCAGCCTCTTTGAACGCGTTCTTTCATAGGCACTGATATCTATGAAAAATTTGTCATGGGGAGTTTCGAAGCTCTGTAGTACATGCCGTTCTCCCCCAAATCAACAAATGATCTCCAAGAAAGAAGCTCTTTGCTTATCCCGGAAACGCGATGAAAAAAAAAATCCAATGGCCGATGGGTTCGTGAGACGAGGGAAAAATTCAAATTAGGTTGCAGTGAGTGAGAGAGGCCAGTTGAGGAGTAATTTTAAGCTAATTTTTGACCATTTAGTAGTTCAAATGACGGAAAACTGGGGATGGAAGGCTCAGGTGACACAGATTTTGATGTAAGTATTCGAGAATAAGATAAGTATAATACAAAGCAAGGGAACTGGAATCACAGGTGGCACTGAGGCCTCTGCAAAGCTCGTGTATTTGGTTTACTGCGGATGGCATCATTAAATTCCCCTGGGTTTCTATGCGAATTATACCGATGTGCTGCTTTTCCTTGAAAAGTCAGAGAGCAGGTTCTGGACAGAACCCCATCAGGCCAATTAACTGCTGAACATATTCAGCACAAAATCATTTTATGTCATGCAGACAACTTGTCAATTAGTATTTCCCCTTTCGAAGAGCCTTCAGATGCTTTTACATTAGAAATGGGTCTCCTGGTACACACTAACCATCACAACGGAGACTTCAAAATTAATATGAAACCACTGAATGTTTTGAAATGGATTGACCTGCTGATTGGGTGAGTTCTGGAGACAGCAAAAGCACAGTCAAGGCCAGTAGAGAGCGCATCATTGTGCAGATGTCGAATGATAACTTATCTGTCGTCGCTTGGCTTTTGAAGAGAGTTTATCTCTCGGACTTCTTAATCTTTGTCTCTCGACACCTGCATGTAACGCCCTCGACCTTCAGTAATGCAAAAGAATTTCGCTTATCGTTCGATACAGGAAACGTGCACCTTAGCACAGGAGCTGCAGCTACTTCAGAGATCAGAAAGGAACCCAATTCTTGTTGGTTTTGTCTTTATTGTGAAGTCTTTTTCTCAGGTATTGCGATCAACCTGAACTGTTGAATAAAGAACCGAAGTCCATCAGCTTCCCAATCTCCTACCGAGCGGTCTTGCAAGCTGCCCAGTTGTTCCTGGCTTTTTTGTCTAGAAACTAATGCCAGTTGTAACTGCAATCGTCAAGATGGTCTTAAGTGATGTTGTTTACATCGGAGAATACAATACAATTGGGTATATTGGACGGTATGGCTCATGAGTGGTGCAGATTTACCCCGTGCAAACGCTTCCTTAATTCAACTTTGCAAAATGTAGAAGTGCGGTTTTGTTGTGGTTTTCGGATGACTCCTCAGTGGTGCTTCAACGATATCTTCCTACGACCCTTCATATACATGCTGAGTGGTTCTCGACAGCAAAGGATCTCATTCCGTTCGAAGCAATGAGTACGCACTGTTCGGAGAAGTGCTCGGAATTTTTCCCTCCTCGTTGGCAGTAAGTTTGGCCCCTGTCAACGTGAAGCTTCTGGAGACTTCATAAGTACTTGAGTCAGCCGAAGGCTTCTTTCGATATACATTGGGAAGCCTTTCACACGGAGTCCATCACGAGGGGTCCGAATTTCTCTGTGTTTTCTCTCCATGCTTTCTCTTCGCAAAACGATGACGATCATGAAGCGTCTTCGTAATACAGTAACTCTTCAAACTCAAATTCAACCACATTTCTTCATACACATATATGTCTAATTTCGCAGATGATTTTACATTAAATTACTGCTAAATCAGAAAAATGTGTATATTGTAAGAGGGATAAAAGATGACGTAGCCAAAGTTTTCATTTGGGGCTGTACAAGGTGATGAAACTGTCAGTACTACTGAAAACATCTCTACTTGAATGCTCAGTCTAAAAGGTTGAAACTTACGAAACCCACTGCAATGTAAGATTCATGTGTCTCCTCGTATCTCAAATCCACTCTCAATCTCTCAATTCGGGTCGAAGCCTTTCCATGTATTTCAAAAGAAAAGCGTTGGTATGTACAGTCAGAAAAATTTTGCAGCGCTTGACCCTCTAACGCCTGGACATGATGTTTGGTGTCTTCTTCCAAGACGATAGACTGTCTGTTTGCAGTCACCATGCGTCCTGTTCCGCATACGTAATTACTGAATTGTCTAGAGCATCGGTAGACGGGCGGAGCCGCTTCAGGCTGTCGCAACGGACCGGACACGGCGTCAAGGGGGTACAAAATCCGTTGGCGGCAACACCTTGCTTGCTCTGCAAATGCAATTCATCGGTGGGCTCTCTGCTGTGCTGCTACTAGTCGCTGCTTGTGACTCCGCGATTGTTCGGCGCAACAAACGACAACTTGGTAAGATTACATTACTGTCTACATATTATCCTAGCTGGTATCACCTTCGTCCAGGGGCTGAATGAATTAGCCTTTTCCAAAAGCTTATTGTAACATAAGAAAATGTGGTCCATTCGAGCACAAAGTTATTCCCGAATATAGCAACTTTCGATCCTAGCTGTTGACGCTGTTGACTGCGAACTCTTTTTTATGCTGGGCATGAAAGTGCACCTCACTATGATTGGTGTCATACTTTTTGAAAGTAACTAATGGCATTTTTGGCTGCTTTTTTTTGCTCAAATTTCCCTAGATGACTGTCTTTCTTCAATTTCAAAGCTGCACTTGAATTTAAACATATCCCACTGTTTCACTTCTATGTACCGAGCATCATGCTGTGGTCTCGTCTTGAGGATTATTATGAGAAGCAATCAGTCATGAGAACGACTTTTAGAAATTCGTGCTGTGGTGTCGAAGTCTTAGATGTCATAATATGATCTCACATTTAAGGGAATCAGTATGAAAAATACTTTGGAATTCAAGAAAGGGTGGGTGGATGGATAACTTCACCAAGAGGATGGATAGTAAAGCAAACGCAATCACTTGAGACTTTATCCGCAGAGTTAAAAAGGATGAAGTCTTTGGGCGTTTACCAATCCCATTTGAGGGATGCGCCTGCACATTCGACTTTCATTCAGTGGGGTAATGAGTGCGTATGTGGCCTACACAATGACTTGCGATGGCCAGCCGATGTACAAGTCAGTGCTTTTTCCCTCCCAAACGAGTCTGCCAATTAACCGACCCCGGAGGGATGGAAGGCTTTGTTGGCTTAGGCGGATATCAGTCTGAGAATCGAATAGGAGACCCTGCGTATGTGACTTGCCACTACACCACCTCCTTCCTGGTGAACCTGTCATTTACCACTACCTATTCAATTATTAGATTCGAAGGTGTCGGAGTTTCAAACACCTGGCAATTATCTGAGTCAGTGCTAAATTCACTAACTGCTAATGCACAGAGTCGCGTATTTTTTCTAAAATATGACTCAATAGGCCATCTTTCATGGAGGTTAAAACTATTACTCGAATCTTATCTTCTGTGGGCCCCAAAAATTTGACTGATGACTTGACTTCACTCTGCTCACATCTTGATGCATTACACTTTTGTTTGTTTATAAAAACAGCTATAGAAGGCCTACAGCAGAGCAGATCAGAGGAACAGGTAAACAGGTATAGAAGATGAAGTCAGCGTATGTCATTCAATCGCTTATGTGAGTCCTCATTTCAGTGCCTCTCGCAGCTTCATGTGACATGTACACCACCTGCGCTCCGCCAGCGGTTTGCCTAAGTGGTCAGTCAATGTGTGCTTCGTTTTCATGCCGTTTGTTCGTTCCATGTTTCCGATCGTATTTGTTTGTCACCTCTTCTACACCTCGCTGTTTACCGGGCGTTTGTCACTTCCGCGCTCGTGGACGAGTCCCGCGTACTGTTCACAGTGGTCTTCCTGAGCCCACGCCAATTCCCTCAATGTGCTGCATCAGGAAGCAAACAGCGTTCACGTTTGTTTGCTAGAGGGGATGTCATTCCTGCAACCTGTATGCCACCACTTTCAAGGTCTAATATGTGTAGGGAAGTGACAGACGGCCGGTAAACATTGATTCTGCAACTTATCTCATCTTTCTCTCTTCTAAGGCGAAATGACCTACAGTACACGAAAAGTATAGTGGGTTACGTAAAGCAGCATACTTGTCCTATCACTGTTATCAATTCCCACCCACTTCAACTACGCATGACGTTCACACGGGACTTCTTAAGTGATTCCAGTATTTGTAATATCCAATCCTACGACGACAGCTGCTTCACCTGAATCGCAGTGCAGTCCGGTTGCTGTAAGAGATCCACAGTTTCGAACAAAAGTTGAACGACACATCCCAAAAAGATTAATCAAGTTATAAGAGTGTTTTCATCTCTGATGGTATTGTTTTTTTTCTGAAGAATGTCTCGATGGACTAAAGAAATCAGCGGAAGCAGGTCACCTTTACAGGGCTCAATGGAAGAGTTATCGTATAGGTTCCTTTAATGGGGAACAAATCTAACTTGTGAACGAGACTCTGGGGTGTCAATTACCGAAAGGTTGGTGATTATGTCTTATTGTTAGAGGAAGAGTTCCTAGTTGAACTGTATGCCAACAACCGTCCGATAAAAGCATATTATTATCTGCTTAGGATGTTTTCCAACAACTTTTATCAGAACCAAAAGCAAGTCGGCATTTGCACAGAGTGTTTTTGAAGCTCTTGTTTACAAAATTCGGGAAGGTCCGATTTTACGGGGATGTGTTGCGATTAGGATGCCGTACGAGAACAATGAAGTAGGAAAAGCGTGTCTGGACCTCAGAGGCCCGGTTCACGATAGTTTGAAGCACTTTCTAAGTTGAATGGCGGAGGGTTGGTGCAGATCAACCCGATGAGAGTGGAGGATTTCTCGAAATAAGCACAATACAAGGGTTTTAAATATTCATTTAAATATTCAACATGTGTGCTCCGTTTTGAATGCGGCAGCCTGTACAAGACCGTTGAAAAACGTCCACTCTCGGATGTTGACGTCCACTGAGATGAGCGTCAGCCTCTATTGCGCCCTATTTGGACTGTTTGTCGACCCGACTGCCCTTTGAGGTGTACTTGAAGAATACAGATTCGTCCTAGCAAAAAGTCGTCGAAATCTTTTATATCGTGTACTGTGCCCTCTAGATTGCGCTTACCTCCATGTCGCTGAGAAAATTTCACAAATCAGATGTGGGATTCAACCTTTCAACCTCATCCTCCCTGACAAATAAGGTTTTTATCGAGGGAGCCAGACCCCAAGGGCATCGTAAATCGGTGATCTCTCCAATGGAATCACTCTACAAAAAATATTAGGTTGATGCATAATTATTGCGGATTTTTTTGCGGCTCTTTTCTCTTAAAATAGTTTGACTTTCAAGTTCGGGTTTTTTCTAGAAATGATCTACTTGACTTCCTCTACAAGAATATACTCGAAAAACCATCCGTATATTCGAGAAATTAGGCTTAACTAC